GAATTTAATTCTCCATTGAACAGTCTTTGTTTCATCCCTTAATATTAATTAGTCGGCGAATAAATCAACTGAAAAACATAAAGTAAACATTGAGTACAAGGAGGATAAAAATCCCCCTCCGAACCGGTCCCTGTCACAGCGGGACTGCTACTGCCGAGTTTACTCACGCACCCGACTCACATTTACCGACAATTCGACCGGGACGCCGCCTTTCCCGTGGGGTACCAACTAACATTTTTGGAGTAAATCAAACGGATGGGTCTAAACTAGGTACATCCGCAAATAATGGTACAGGAAGTGGCGGCCATTTTTCTCAGCAGTTTCGGGGGTAGGGCCATCTAGAATCACTGTAGGGAACTGAAAAAGAGAATTTCTTTACCTGTTGTGAAAATTACCGATCGGAGAAGGGAATGCGAGTGTCCTCTATCATAATTTTATTGTAACGGAAAATTTGGATGTTTTATAGATGGCGATAGTAATCCACAAACCATCTTTCAACGTTCTGTCAAGGGNAGGCCTCTACTCAGGAGGGCGATTCAGATAATCGCGTGACGGAGGCGGGGAGCGTGAGGGGGTATGACGGCGAAAGGGGAGAGTGTTTTCGGAGCGGAGCGTTGTTTTGAGATGGTGAAGGCGAGATGGCGTTAGCCGTCAATTTTATAATGCAAGAGCAGAGGAGGTTAATTATTAACGAGATATAAAATTCGTAATAAGCAGTAGTTGAGATTCACTTGAGAATAATAAAATTAGTATTTGGGATTTTTCGAGTGATTTATTGTAATCTCCGCGAGATTTTGATGGCCTGGGACTAACTGAATTGGTTATGTGTTTTGTGCTCCAAAGTGCTAATTAATCGTTGAATTGGATTGAAATTAAGAGGTAAGTTTGTTTTTTATTGAAAATATTCAATTTAACCACGTGTAGAATCTATTTTAATTATGTATTGTGTATCACAGACGGATGGATGAACTCATTGCATTATTTTTGGGGAATGGTCATATTCAAGTCAGAAGAAGAAGGAAAAGAAATCATCGGTTACGTTTGTATCGCAGGAAAATAGGTGATATTGTAAATCCTTTCGATATCCCCGAAGGAGAATTCATCCGACTCTTCAGGTGGGAAATTATCAGATTAAATTCTTCATTTAACTCACGCAGATCAAAATAATGGTCATTCGACCCGGAGAGGTTGGTCAATTACGAAATCATTGGAAATCGAGCGAAGAATGTAAAGCCGGAATTTTCCATTCGAGCTCATTCATACGATTCGGTTTGACCCTCATCACCCTCTTATGCAAATGTCCTTTTGAACTCTCAGGCTTCCCTAATGTTACCTATATGACTCACCTCACAGCATAGCACATTACTTCGAGCATTTCACTCTAAAGGACTTCTGATTCAGGAATCCAGGGAAGTAGGCAGCAAGCAGTTTGAATACTGCTTAAACTTCTATGACCCGGGTGATTTTTCAAAAGTGACATTTGTAGATTCAAATTTCGTGCAGCATAACAAAAATTGAAGGGCATAAAATACCAATAAACCACAATTTTCTTTAGATTTCTTTGATCATTCATTCTGTACAGCTACATGCCGGCGTTTGAAACATTACAACTATATTTTTCTCATTTTTCAAGTATAAAAGATGAGTACTAAAGTCATCAACATGATGGAAACAACCCCCTAGGACTTTCAAATTTCACTGCAGTCTCCCCTTAATAATATCACAGTAGAGAAAGGTGGGGCAATATCGAACGTTTTGGTACCAAGGTTTTTCACAGACTCAGAATCCCAATGTTCATATTCATAAACAAACATATCGAGAATTAAAGTAGATCACAAACGTTCCATTTTGCCCCACTCTCTCGTATGTCCTAACGGATGTGAACTCATAACCCGAGACCTCCGAACTCATTCTCGGACGCGCACAAAACTCATATGATTGCCGCCCTCGCATTCGGCTCGTGCTGCAAACTCATGCTCGCCAGAAACGTTAATTTCAACATTTGGAATTGTTAGATTCACAAAAGACGGTGCATTGTTCCTTATTGAGGAGTTGACTGTGGTTTTACCACAAGCTACCAGACGTGATGCGATTCCCATTCACTTCCAAGTCCTTGCTGCTTTGGACTTTTTTTCTGGAGGATCTTATCAGCGGAAAGTTGGAGGATTCTTAGCATGCATGAGTCAGACTTCTGTCAGTCGCTGTCTGCATAGAGTCGTTGAGGCTTTGAATCAAATCATGCCTCAATGGATTCATTTTCCGAAGACGCATCAAGAAATCGAACGGATCCAAGCAGGGTTGGTGATGAATAATTTGATAACAAACAACTCAAACATCGAAATATGAATCAACTCAAACTCGAATGGAACAATAACAAAGAGAGAAAAAAACTCAAACTCAAGGAATTTCTGGAAATTCCTGGGAATTCATGGAATTTCTAAAAAATTCGACTGCTACAGTTACGAGGTATCATCAAAAAATGAAAGTAATATCGGGGCTGTAAATAACCAGAAAAAAATAGCCTTTTGCACCATTAACTGGAATAGTTCATGAGATATCATCAATGAATGCAATTGATGTAGAATGAATCTTCTATTCGCCCTGAGGGCTGTAAATAACCAGAAGAATGGCCTTTTAAGCTATTCTCTCAGTCTATATAGAACAGAAGTTTGCTCCGAAATTCACTGGCGCTGAATTTCAGGCGCTAACTGCAATAGTTTACGATATATAATCGAAAAAACTCAATTGATGTAGAATTAAACTTCTGTGCGTTCTAGGGGCGATAAATGATGAGAAACATGGCCTTTTCATTCATTCTATCATCTTATATAGGACTGAAAGTCCTTCAGGAATCCAATGGCGTTGGTACTGCAGTAAGAGTTGATGTGGACATGTTTGGGTGGCGAAATTCAAATGGGCTATATTCTTGATAATATATAATAGATCAGTCGTTTCCGAGACTTGTACATGTCAAGTCTTGCTGCTGTATAAAGGCCACAGCCGATTCGAATCTTTGTTTCTATTAAATTTCATTTGGGGCAGATTTTGGGGTAAATGGGGGTTCCCTGGAGTAATAGGTTTGATTGATGGAACGCATGTGTCAATTGTGAAGCCAGCGGGAGTTAGAGAGGCTCATTTCGTTAACAGGAAGCATAATCATTCACTGAACGTTCAAACTGTAAGTATCACTAGTTTGAATAACAATTCAACTACACAATCGAAATTTTTTCGGTTTGTGATCATCAACTTCGCATTCTCTCCCTCAATGCTAGCCACGGAGGAAGAGCCCATGACTCTCGAGTTTTTGCTTCATCTAGATTATCTGTCCATCTGCGGGAACAGTATGATGCTGGACGACGAGACTGTTGGTTGCTGGGTAGCACTCAATTGCGATTGAAATCTGCTTCATTCTCTTCATTTTTCTTTTGTTCTTTAAGGTGATTCCGGTTATCCGTTGTTGCCGTATTTACTCACTCCACAATTGAATCAACCTATAGGAAGTCCAGAATACAGATATACAATGTGTCACGCTAGAACAAGGTCGACTGTGGAACGATGCTTCGCAGCTTTGAAAGGTCTTTGGAGATGTCTGCACAAAGACCGAACGTTACACTACACCCCAGAGTTTTCAGGTGTTTTGTAGCGATTCCACTGTCTCTTTTAGATCTGGAGATACGTGATATTTGACCAACACTGACCTTGCACCAAAATGATCATAACACTCCATCATTTTTAGCTCTTATTTGTAACGCTTGCGCGGTGCTACACAATATGGCTATCCAGTGGAACATGCCTGTAGCTTATTTCGCTGATGCGCAAATAGATGATGAGGATGGAGCGGAAGAGGATCATAATCGTGGGGAAGTCGAGTTGCCTCCAGACATTCCCTATCGAGTTGGAGCACAAGTTCGCGATGAGTTAATTGCAGAATTCTTCACTCGCTAAGCGACAATTACTTGAGTACTCGATTTACAATGGAGTGAAATACTCCCTCTCTCTCACGCATGAAAACAAGCAGGGATTCGAGCCTTTTTGGCAGAAGCCTTTCGACCGTTACTTTGTGCGTTATTACCAGGATCCGGTACTTTTTGTGATTACGATTGTTATCAACAATCATGAAATTGTTATTAACAATTGTCATCACACCAAGTAATATCTTATTGATCATATTATATTATTTAATCTTATCAAATTTCAACTCGCTATCCCGATTTTTTTCTCGAGTGATCGTGCGCACAAGCTTTTTGATGAAAAGACATAAATCTCTCAAAAAACAGAAATATCTCCGAAATTCATTCGGACCGATTCATATATTTCGATTGATCCGGATTGAGTCATTTCAGTAGCGGAGAAGTGAAACGGTTCAACTTGAATTTCATTATTATTTTAAAATCTTTTCAGTTGCATCGCAGACCCCTTAGCGCACAATGAGACGACGGCCCCGTCGCACAATGGCCGAGTGGACATCACCCCTCAGCCTCCCACCCGCCTGCCTTCCCCCATCACCCAAAACCACCAGGTCCAGACTCCGTGTCTGGGACCAACCCTAGTCCCCCCCGCCCTCCACCCCCTACAAAGATTACCAAGCCTACACCCTCTCCGAGAGTTCCCCAGACAGTGGTTCAGAGGCTCCATTCTCTCTCCCAGGTCACCACGAGCCCCAGCACGTCCACTCCCCCAGCAAAAGTCCACAACAGTCCAGGACATTCTCCCGAGAATGGAATTAACTACCCAACATCGAATCTCGTCCCCCGTCCCCTAGAACCCTGGGGTTCTCAGCAGGTCCTCTCTTGCTGACTCACTCCGTCCGGACGCCCCTGCACAGCTGTTCCAGCAGTTGTATTGTCCTCGAGAATGAAGAGGTCAACGGTGATAACTCCTACATCGACTCGAGTTATCAGAGCATCAAGTTCCATCCGTTTCAACAGACAACCTGGCAGGCACTGTGATCATAATTTGAAGGAATGACCCACACCCCGGAAGTAGAAGAGTAGATGCTGATGAATGAAGGATTAAACTTCAATAATTAGAAATTGTTGAGATGGTAGTTTTCAGTAGCAAAGCGGTTAAACAATTCAAGTTGAATGTGCTTCTTTGTTTGAATTCCCAAATTTCACCGTAAAAAAACCTATACGATTCCCTCTAGGATCGCCCTGTAAGAAAGTTCCATAGAACTTTCTATAGAACATTCTTATACCTTTTTTGTCATGCGTAAGCTCTAGCTCCCTCTTATTCTCCGAATTTCTCTCTTTAATTATTGAAATCTCGCGACTCAATTCACTCTGTTGATTCATTGTTCTTTTGTTTTCAATCTTCATACACAAAAAGTTTTCAATCTTCATACACGAATTGAAATCTCTCACCATGTCCAGAATTACGTACCGTTGTAAACGGGCAATGCTCGATTATATGAAAAAGAATAAGGATTTCGCTTTTGGACGCTTGAAAGACTCTGGCTTTAATTCGAAGGCAAAAATGGTGAGTTGAAAAATCGAATTTCGAACTGAAAATTACCATTGAAGCCCGAGCAGCTCCTTTTTTGCGTATTTCATTTTATTTCTATATTTTATTCACCTAATCCGAGGGCTCCCAAAACCGCCTAAATTATCTGCCTGGAAAGAATAGTTGAAAAAAAACTAATTTAATAATTCCAAATAATTTTCTTAATTTGAAAATCATGTTAGTTTTCAAATATTGATTTAGAATGTTTTGCGAAATCTCTTAAATTGATGGAATAAGGGAAAATATCAAATAAAATTTTTCAAAGAAATTAAAATTACAAGAAAAAAGGTTTTCTGACTTTTTCTAACATTCTCACGATTAAAAAATATTGTTGCGAATATCTCGAGAATAAGAAATTGTCTGGATAATTTTTTTAGAAATATTGTTAATTATTAATCAATTCATTATTGAAGCCGAAATTAATCTGGAAATTTTATTTCCAATCCAACAGAAGCGTCACAAAGAGGAGTTTGCTAACACAGTGAATGCTGCAAGCAATGGAACAATGAACAAAGATGGAGATCAAGCAATGAGGGTAAATAATTGAATTTTCTTTTTCTCAAATTATAAATCGGTAGCGAAATAGTGAAGGGTAGCAAGTTGATTCTTCATATCTCATTAAACATTGAATTATCTCGATAATGAGTGATTTTAGGGGAAAACATCAGAATATCTTTTTTGTAGATGGGAAAATTCCCCACAAAAAATATATTCTGATTTTTCCTCCTGAAATCATTCATTAGCGAGATAATTCAATGTTTATTGAGATATGAAAGTCGACTTTTTACCCTTTACCACTTCGGTACTGAAATGAAGAAATAAATGAATCACATGTCATTCGAAAATTTTTCGATAGTCTTGGACTGATTGGAAAAAAGGTGTCTTAATCAGGGCAGCAAGATTGAGAAGTCACGCTAAGGGCACAGGTGGTGGTGATCCCCTCGACGACGATTTGGATACTCTGGAGAAAGAATTACTGGACTTCTTAGGACCAGAGTCCTATAGTATACCCAATATTGAGGAAGGTGGCTTCCCATCACGACATTCTTCTTCAACTCGAGGAAATGAGCCTCCCCAGAAGAAGTTTCGAACTGGGAATAACCGCACCGTGAGGACTGTCAACTGCACATCTGGTGGTTATAACCCTGTTACATCGTTCGCCCACTCAACACACGTACCAAACAAAAATGGTCCAACGAGATCTTTAAATAATTTGAAAAATTATAATATTCAGCCACCTGTGGAGAGGTATGAGCGAAGCTCGTTCGACGGTCCTGGAATGAATTGGCTCAGTCGAAGTGGAAAAGACAATGGAAATTATAAGTATAAGCTGCACACGTCTGCAACATTTCACGTCATTTCTGATGAAGAGGAAAATCCATCCTACATGCACAGCTCCGGCGAAGAGAAGACTTATAAAGAATCAGACCATCGCCATGCAGACCATCGCCATGCAGACAATCACCATGCAGACCATCACCGTGGAGACACGTACGTGGACTTAGAACAACTCGATGAGGAGCTGGATCAGGAGTTCCCTGATGTTTCCGTGAGTACACGTATGGAAAAAATTCAATAGAAAAACCAATCGAAATTCCATCGAATTTCTATTGGAACTTTTTTGGATTTGTATTGGAATTATGGAATAACTCTATTGCAATTCTATTAGAATTGTATTGCAGAATTTTATTAGAATCGTATTGGAGAATTCTATTTATTTTTTGCGCCACTTTTATAGAAGATATCTTATAGAAAAATCAATCGATTACCATTTTTCCATTAAATTCTAGGGCTTAAATTTTCTAAGTTCTTAAAGTTCAATTGAAAAATCTACATACAAATCCGGACAGTTCAGATAACTTTCTACGATGACTTAAAGAGAGAAAATTAGAGCCCTTAAAAATTAGAGCAACTCACTACATTCAATTCTATATTTTTTTAAAATTCTGTTTTGATATCTGTTTTTATAAATCCTGTTTGTTTTTTGCGTCATTTCTATAGAAGATATTTTATAGAAAACTCAATCAATTTTTTTATATAAAAGAATTCTTAGGCATTAATTTTTTTTCATGGCTTTTGTTATGAGAAACAAACGAAAATACAGCGGAAAAATCTTGAAAAATGCAAGCCCAAGAATTCGTAGAAAAATGAGAATCTTTCAACTTTTCTATAAAATATTTTCTATAGAAGTATAATAAAGAAATATAATTCTAATAAAAATATAATAGAATTTCTATTCATTTTTCTATTCAATTTTTTCATACGTATGAGGGCATTGAATGTAGTGACTCTAATTTTCAAGCGTTCTAATTTTCTGCCTGAATAAATCATTTTAAAAAGTTCTCCAGTCTCCGGATTTGTATATGAATTCTTTAATTTAATTTCATTGTAACAATTCTTCAACAGGCGGAGATTGGCAATTACTTTCCTGAGCACTACGACAATGATGTCACAGAAACATGGCCAAATGACACAGGTGATGCAGGTGATGCAGGTGATGGTCCATGTATCTGCGTATTTTCTTCTCATACTTCTCATCAATGAATTTTGTTCGATTTTCATCAATCGAAAATGGTGATAATATCGATATTTTCATACCTCTCGTCCGCTAGGGAAATGTCCCTATTCTCTTTGTCTAAATTATGTCTATATTCTTCAAGTCTTAATCACAAAATTAATTTGACTCCTCTGATTTGACCTTGCGAAAATTTAATTCCAGGACAAAAATCCGATGAGACTAAAACTAAAACGACAACTGCCTGTGATCCAGCCAAAACTGCTGTGGAACTGCTGGAAAATAAAATGGAATTTAAGAAAGAGGAGTCAGAGGCTACTGTGAAATACAGAGAACAAAAAATAAAGCTGGAGATGCAAATTTTCGATTTTGAGAAAGAGAAATTCAGAGTTGAGGGGCAGAGACATGAGGAGCTTGTTTCTTCAATCAAACAGGTCAACGACACGCTCGTCGCATTGCTACAGAAATTACCATAATGGCGTTTAGTGAGTAATTTTAAGAATTTCAGAGTCATCTCACAAATTCCAATGATTATTGATAATTTTCATGGGCTGAAAATAGAATCTTAACGTCCATTACAGTCGAAATTTTTTCAATTCATTACTGAAGTGGTAAAGGGTAACATGTTGATTTTAATTAAATAGAACTAGGGGAGCGTGGGGCAAAATGAAACAGTAGGAAAATCTAGTAATCTGACGGAGATAGAACGATTTCATACAGACCTTCTTTGTAGCTTGTAAAATTCTCTACAAAAAAGGTCTTTATGAAAATCGTCTTATCTCCCTCAGATTACTAGATTTTCCTACTGTTTCATTTTGCCTCGTGTTTCATTCTGCCCCACCGTCCCTTACAATTTCTCTTTGCGGCCAAAGTAAATCGTTTCTTTTTCAACATTTGTAATGAAGAACAATTGAAAAAAAATTCATTACTTCGAATGAATACTGTATGAATCAAATCAAATCTATTGCCACACTTCTTGTGATTTTTTATCCCCTTGTAAATGCACTGAAATTCCACGGATTTTCGTAATTGAAGATGCACATTTTCGAAAAAAAATCAAATAATAAAGGAAATTTCACTACGAAATTACATAAAATTAAAATAGAATGAGTTATGATATTGTATTGATAATGATGTACTGGCGATAATCGTAATGCTAATGAATTGATGGAAATAAAGTTTCAAGGATTAATTAAGTATGTTTTATTTTTCAAGTAATAGTCGATAGATTCACCATTGATAATAACCTTAATAATCTATTTGTTTGAATCTTAATTTTCTTCTAACAATAATGGTATTAGTAGAAACAATTTTATTCTGACAAGAATGGTATAAGTAGAAAAAAAGGAAAACTACTTTGATCGTTTAACAATTGGGGTAATTGATAGAATAACAACACTTGTAAAGGATGCGAAGAGGGAAATGAAGATGAAAGTTTCAATTTTTGAAATTTTCCATTGAAAATTGGAAGCCTTGATTTTTATTCATGCTCGAGATCTTGAAGACGTTTGAATTCGAAATAATCCGACACCAAGTTCATCAGTTCGATCAGCCGCTCACGCTCCCTGTTGAGTACTAAAGTAATGCGCAACTCCACTGTCTCACGGTAGAGTTCAATCAATGATGGTTGACGAGCTTCAGGACCTTCTTCAGCCCTAGGGACTCCTTCAGCCACAGGACCTAGTTCAGCCCTAGCTGCAGCTGTAGCCTGAGCATGATTTGCACCAGCCCGACCTCTGCTGAATGGACGACTCGCTTTACCCCGTGTGTGACTTGCTCCAGCCTTGGGGGTTGACGAGTCTAATGCTGGGTGAATTGGTCTGACTTTGGGGATTGAGGCAATTGTCCTAGATGCTGGGGGACGAGCTGGTAATCTTGAGGGGTGAGCTGAAGATGTTGAGGGTTGAGCTCTCGATGCGACTGAGGGACTAGCTGCAGATGTTGATGGTTGACGAGCTTCAGAACTCTCTTTAGCCCGAAGACCTGTTGCGGCTGTACCAGTAGGCGACTGTATCAGTGGGCGACTCACTTTTTCCAGTGTGTGATTTGTTCCAGCCTTGGGGGTTGACGAGTCTAATGCTGGGTGGATTGGTTTGACTTTGGAGATTGAGGCAGTTGTCCTAGATGCTGGGGGACGAGCTGGTAATCTTGAGGGGTGAGCTGAAGATGTTGAGGGTTGAGCACTCCATGCAACTGAGTTACGAGGTGAAGATGTTAGAGAAGTCACCGGACCGATCCATCTACGTTTCTTTCCCTTATTCCCCAATTGAACATTTCCTTCGTTCTTTCGCTTCATCATTTTCCCACGCCTCAGGTCAACTAAAATCAGAAACAAGAGAGCTCATGAAAATAAAACCACCTCGATTCTGAAGGACTCTTCAACAGCTATCTAAATGAAATAACTTACCTGACTCATCACTGTCACTGTCACTGCTGCTGGTTATAACAATGATCCCAAGTTGAGTCATCCCTCCAGAGGTTTGAGGATCGTTTGTCCCATCATTCTGTTTTGGAGTTTCACACTCTGTCTCGGCCTCCTGAATCTCTCGACAGAGTTTCAGGAAACGAGGACTCTGTACTATGGTCTTATCTAAAAACAATTGCCATATTAATTCGATTACTATCGATATTTCCAGCGTGCTTCCATAGGAGTATGACAAACTTACCAGTCCCATTGTACAAGTAGTAAATCTCTCGTCCAGATTCATTGTGGTCGATCAAGACTCTGCCTTCAGTGTCTAGGACGACTTTGAAATTATCCATTGCACTTTTATTAACAAAACCGATGGAAATAATGAAATACTCGCAACTGGATTCGATGGAGTCGATGTATGGAAAAAACGAAGATCGCAATGGAGGCGATGAAACAATTGCAAGTAATGAGCGGTTCAACACAGGAACATACGCAAGCCGCTATGGCCGTTCCATGGCCTCCCCGTGGCTTTTCATGTTGATTTAGGTTCACGGCCACTAATCTTGGGGTTTAATGACCACCATGCAGGGCCAAAGGGGAGGTACCAAGGGTCAGAGTTGGGAGGTCAACCGAAGAATATCAACTAAGCAGCAGGGTCTCATTGTTAGAGAAGCTATTGCCACTGAAAAATTTGAGAAGCAACAGAAGCTCCAGGCTAAGAGGAAATTACGTCTCAAGCACCAGGAGTTACTCGGTTCTGTCCTGCTCCCTCTCCTTTCCAATAAAAAAGAAATATCAAAATGAAAAAATTTGCTACACTTCGTTCATAATAAGGAGACATATACATAATGTTGAATTCTTTTATTGTATTATTTAAATTAATTTTCAAGATTAATGGAAATTAATTTATCAATATTAATGGAAAACATAGAAAAATGAAATTTACATATCTCTGCAAAATAAAGTTGACTCATAAAAAAAATCGCGCGATTTTGTAATTCCTGATTAAAATTAATTGAGTAAAATTCAAATAATTTCGTTCATTATCAATTATCAATTATTCCGCGTAATTTTCTTGATACAAAGGCATGGAGTTCCGCTAATAACTGCAAGTACATTGGTTGTCAAACTGCGGTATCTCCCAAGCTCGTGATCAGTAGATTGCGTCTCCCAGGCTAGTTAATAATGTTGAAGAAGGAACCCTGAATGTCGTTAGACATCAGATCTCCATTTTAAACCCTTGAGGTTTGAGGATACTTGGATGTTGAGTTTCAAGGAGTATGTCATTTTCCAAAAATGATGCAATGAGTTCATCCATCCGACTGTGATACACAATACATAATTAAAATAGATTCTACACGTGGTTAAATTGAATATTTTCAATAAAAAACAAACTTACCTCTTAATTTCAATCCAATTCAACGATTAATTAGCACTTTGGAGCACAAAACACATAACCAATTCAGTTAGTCCCAGGCCATCAAAATCTCGCGGAGATTACAATAAATCACTCGAAAAATCCCAAATACTAATTTTATTATTCTCAAGCGAATCTCAACTACTGCTTATTACCAATTTTATATCTCGTTAATAATTAACCTCCTCTGCTCTTGCATTATAAAATTGACGGCTAACGCCATCTCGCCTTCACCATCTCAAAACAACGCTCCGCTCCGAAAACATCTCCCCTTCCGCCGACATACCCCCTCACGCTCCGCGCCGCGGTCACGCGATTATCTGAATCGCCCTCCAGGTCTATCCTCTTTGATATCTCCCCTGAATTCACTAATCCACGTCTGTCTTGTTGTTAGCACAATCTCGTTTTGGCAAAGTGTTATTCAAAGAACGGAAAAAATTAGACAATATCAGCAGGACATTATATAAATCGAATGAGTTCAAGGGGGTGATTTTTTACATTTTACAAGGTCTACATGGTTATTGAAAACGGTGCAGGTATCATCATCATCACGAAATTTCCTATTAAGTAAGTAATACCTACAATCACAAAACTTTCTACATGATGGCGTCGTCTTGAGGTTAACTTCGTTCATTCATCTTGCTTCACACATAATTTCAAAAAATATTCCTAGAGAATAAAATTTTTGAAAAGATATAATGAGATATAGGAAAAAATACAGCTTAGAGTTTATAGGTTTTGTGGTGAAAATTTTCAACTTTCAGTTTTATGGGTGAATTCTCAAGAATCAATCCATCGTTGTGGCATTGAAGATAACAATCACATCGGCAAATGAACAAAAACGACTAATTTATTGAATGATGGCATCACTTGAGTTATTACAGCTGAATAATCAGGAAAATACAGAGAAAAATTTATGGAAAAAAACAGCAAATCTGTAATCCAAAAAATTATCTTCATAAGAGTTGATAAAACTTGGTTATATAAACAAAATGATTTGTTAATTCATCTAACATGATGGAAAGGGTTGTATCATCACCATTGAAGAAAATCTTATGTGATTTTCCCAGAAATATAAAATTTTGTTTCGCTTATGGTTCTGGTGTAATGAAGCAAAAAACAGACCCGTCTCGAAATATGTTAGATCTCATCTTCGTTGTCCACAACTCCAAACAATGGCATGCGGAAAATCTGGGGAGAAACCCACACCACTACGTTCAACCACTTCGTTTTCTCGGTTCCAATGCAGTGAAAAAACTTCAAGAAACATGGGCAGCGCAGATTTACTACAACACATTGATAAAATCGAGTGAAGGACGATTAATTAAATATGGAGTCATATCAGAAATATCACTTGTCGCGGATCTTCTCGATTGGAATTTTCTGTACCTGGCCGGGAGGCTTCATAAACCCGTAGAGATTCTGGTTGAACCTGACGAGACATCACAATTACGAGCAGCATTAGTTCAGAACCTCCACTCAGCAGTTCATGCCGCTCTTCTTCTTCTCCCCGAGAATTTTACTGAGATTGACTTCTTCAGAATTATTGCAGGATTATCTTATCAAGGTGATTTTAGAATGATATTTGGAGAAGATAAATCAAAAATAGACAACATAGTCGTGCCCCAGATTCAAAATTTCCGTGAGTTGTATGCCCCAGTGTTGAAGCACTTTGACAATTACATTGAAATACCTCAAGGTGTAGATGCTTCAACTACATGCAATCAGGACACAAGTCCAACTGCTAGAATCCATCACTTAAATCAGTTACCAAGAATTCCGCAGATGCAGTTGGTAAGAATATGGTCAAACGGTCCGAGGTCTAAGGACACTGAAGATTGTCTTCGTGCCATCGCACATGATCCAGATTGCAGCTCAATCCTCTTGCAAGTTCTACAGAATATCGTTTGGAGGTCGAGTGTATCCCAAAGCATTAAGGGCATTTGCACTGCTGGGCTTGTAAAGTCTATTAAGTACAGTGCCGCAAAAATTATGAAAATGCTGAACTCGGGATCACTTGAGAAAGCACAGTTGACTATTCCCACCCAGGATACTACAAAAGTTGGTCAGATTGTACATAGTGCTGTTAATAAAGAAGAAGCACATATTAAGCCCGGGCGAAAATGAAGTGGAATACTAGTTCAAATTTTATTTTCACCTGTGAAATTATGTCGACATTGTACTTTATTCTATGATGAGAATAATAAATAATGTGCTTGCGAGTATCTTCAATTCTGATTCATTGTTTTCTGCATATAATTTTCAACAAATACACTTTTCATCTGAATTTTATTGCGATAAGCCTCATCATGTTAAATTTCTGCATTTTTCATAATCATTTTGTTATTCATTCATGAGCCTCTAAACATTTATTATCACATTCAGTAATAATTATCCTTCAATACTTTATTGTACAGGCAAATTCATTCAATCCAACTAAATCAATATACTTGACTTTTCTGCCCAGTTTATGCAATGACTACCATGGATTCAGACTCGGAAAGCCAAGACAGTGATGAGGGACGTCGTTTCCGCTTCGAGGCAACCCGGAAAGACCCAATGACTCCTTTCCAATCTTACAGAAGAGATATATCACCGCTTAACAATGCTTCAAGACATTGTAGAACAAGATCTAGGGATAGGACGATACACACGAGACGGGAAAACAGAAATATTCCTATCAGTACAAAAGAACGTACAAATGAGCGGAATAATTACGAAGAGCCGCGAAGTTCCAAAGAAAAAAAAAATTTAAGCAGTGATTCTGGAAGAAAAAAGGAAGCGGGGAGTAAGAACCGGGACCTCAAAAAAACATACAAAACTTCAAGGGACGTTCAGGAAAGAAATTCTAGTTGTCGAGACGATCAAATTTTGCAAAGTAGAGACGAAAAACGGAAACGATCGCGTGATCGAAACTGGGAGTACAAAAGTAGTGGCAAGTACAGGAAATATTCGCGAGAGAGAGAACAATTGAGTCAGAGAGCAAAATCTTTTCAACGTCAAAAACCAAGCGGAGAAAAAATCGGAAATCATGATAAAGATAAGTTAAATCAGTTGGAGCACAGAAATATAGAAGACAAACCCGATCGTCAAGATTGTAAAGACTTGAATCTCTCTGATTTCGATATTGTGTCGGATGCTGAAGGAAATTCTGATAACTCTGATGAAATTATTGAGTCAGGAAATGAGAATATTGAAAGACGAGACTGTAATGCAGCGGAAAATGATAAGGTAAAATTGAGAAATTGTGATAAATCATCAGGCTCATATTTAAGTAACCCTGATGGCTTTTCAGATTTCTTATTAGCGTCAACATCAATAAAAACTATTAGCGCTGATAATAGTGATACCCTAATCTCTAAACATGAGAAGACACGGTTTACTAATTCAGATCGAAAGGAAGAACCTGAGATGGCTGTCAATAAACACGTGGATATCGATGAAGAAATGTATGGGCCCGCTCTACCACCCAATGTGAGAACAAAAAGCTATGATAGATTGAAGATAATTGGTCCAAATTTGCCAAATTATTCAAAGAAGGCTACTACTCAAGATGAGAATGATGAAGAGGCCAATAGATTTGGTCCTCCATTGCCAGAACATCTACGCAAATCTGAAAAAGCAACTGATGGCCCTGTTTTATTAGATGCTATTGAAGCTAAGAGAGTTGGGGACGATGAAGAAGATGGGACTATAGGTCCACTCCCTGCTGACCATCCGACATTAAAATATGATTTAGTCCAAAAGCAACTAGAATACAGAGCACAGCTCATAAACAGAGAATTGGCTGAATTTGTAAGTAAGGCAGCAAGTCCATGTCTTATACAATACCTATAAAACTATTTCGTAATTATTATTCTACACATTTTCTTTTATTTTGACAAGGCAAATCTTTGTATTTCAAAATTTAGGACACTCGACTATTTTTAATATTTTGAGTGTCTGCGGGGGAACTGAACAATGAACAATTTTTTTGCACTAATTCTTTGCTTTTACACATATATAATTGATCTTTAACGTATGATAAATTTCGCTCCCATGTTCAGGATTTTTCTCACTTTTTTCATTACTGTTCACCCATCGTTTTTGGAGATTCATGCGTAATGTGAAACTAAACGGCAATTGGAAATCATTTTAGATTACACAAATGAAAAGTTAAGCTAACGTTTGAAGGATAACACAGTCCAACAAAATTTCGACGCGGCTCTCCTAGAGATGAAATTACTCACATTAGACAGATTTAATTCCGCTGATTCTGAATCCGTTGACAGAATTCCTTTAGGCCTTCTAGTTTTAAAGAAAAAAAATGTCAAAGTTCCCAAAATCATGGAAAACCGTTAAATTCAAAATTCAATAGAAAAATAATGCGTGCACCAATCTGACTCAAATAAGGTTTCAAAAAAAATGAGGAAATCGAGATTTATGAATAGACAGAGATTTTTTTGCGATTGAAGGACGGAATAATTCTCAATAAATTCAGTAATTAGGCATTAAAAATTACATTTAATAGCCCTCAAAAAAGAATTATAGATGGAAGGTCTGAAGTTGCACCACCACGTGTGATTCCCAATGTCAAATTTTGAGGGTTATTCGCTCAGTTTACAGTGATGTGATAGACAACCTATTGGGCAAGCGATTGCATATCTAGAGGAAATGAGACATTTTGTGTTGCCCTTTTCGAGCCTCAGCCTGGCCTGTGGGAGAAAGGGTTATCCAACTATTACAACCAGAGTAAACTCATGTGGCGAGCAATTGGTGGACAAATGCATTCTCCACGGCCAGGTACTGACTTTATGAGCATAAAATCACGCACCATACAAATTTATGGAAAAACCTAGCGAATTTGCTAGACAATTCTATTGGATTTCTATTAAACTTCCTAGTAGTTTCTGGCCGATTCTGTTGAAATAAATATTTAGAAATAAAAGTGGTGAACATTCCCTGGAGAACATTACGATTCCTTTGGTGCAGCTATTTGATTCATGTTTACCGTACCATTTTCTCTCAAGAATATGGGACAAAAAGAAAAAAATCGCTTTCGATTAGTTTTTGGGATATGAGCATTTCAATCCTTATTTTTCAAGATACGAACATTTTTATAAAGCTTCTTATACTTGAGACACCATCGCATGCATTTACATTCCCATATTTAAATTCAATGATTACATTTACAAGCTCAAAACAGTAAAACTCAATTTTGATGAAAAATTTTTTGTTGAAGATTTTTTTGAGTGATTTTTTTTTCTGAAAAATTGCATCAACAATTCAAAAATTCAGTCAACAAAATCTCCAACAAAAAAATTTTCACTCAAAAACTCGTGACCCTAGCCACTCCTTTTTTTTTGTGTGGACCTTGTGACTTTCGTGACCCTCAGCGACTCCTTTTTTATGATCTTTATGACCTTATCTTGAGTTGGGAGAACACGTGATGCATAATGGGAAGATCCTGGCTTCAAATCCCGGTCAGGACTATCCAATTTTTTCAGTAAATTTTTCGTGTAAACTGATATTTTAAATTATCCTGATTCCTGTCCTATCTACTCCAAAATCCTATCCAACAATATTCTGTGGCGTCACAAAATGTGGAAAAATGGTACGAAAAACATATATTAAATCGTGGCGCTAAAGGAATCGTAATCATGCCCACCAGTTGCTCCCCACATGAGTTATTCCGGTTCCAATACTTGGATAAACCGTTCTCCCGTAGGGCAGGGTGAGCCTCGACAACGACAACTAGATGTTTCATTTCCTTTAGATTCGCAATCGTTTGCACAATAGGTTGCATATTTAAATTAATCAACTCTGAATCATACCACTATAAACCAAGTGAATAATCCTCAAAATTTGACATTGGGAATCACACGTGGTGGTGCAATTGCAGACCTCTCATGATTCTTTTTTGAGGATTAAAAGTCATTTTTAATACCTAATTACGGAATTTATTGATAGTTATTCCGTGCCTTCAATCCTAAGTATTACTATTGAATTATTTCGTAAATGATCCCCGTCAGTCATTTCGAATTTTGCAGATGGATTCCAGATGTAAGAACCTCAAATTTGATTTTTTTTTTACAATTTTCTTTCCGTTTTCAACAATCCGCAGTATAGAATTTCTTGCGTATAGAATTAAGATTGTTCTATAGATTGCGTATAGAATTTCTATAGAATTTTCGTATATGATATTCTGATATTTCGTATATGATATTAGATATTTCGTATGGAGTTGCGACATTTCTCTACGTTTTTCTCAGGAGCGTTTAGACATATTTCGTATGAAAACAACAATTTATCTCAAAATTTATGTATAGAAATAATTCGTATAGAAATATCCGAATATCATATACGGAAATCCTGTAGAATTTGTATACGCAATCCGTATAGAAAATTTCTATACGATTTTTTCATACATGTAACTGCTCATATCTCGGAAACTATTCAAAAATTATCGAGACATGCTGCCAAAAATGCACTGAATTTCGTTACGAATTGAATGGTTTTTTATTTATTTCTTTAAGTGAGATAGTTATTGAGATATCAATATTTATTTATTGGAATTTCCTCTATCTCCTTCGCATTCCGAGATATTGTCTAAAGAGTAATGTCCGGGTTTGGATGACACATATTGTTCTACTCTTTCACTACTTGTTGAACCCTTCTTTCAATTGTGATGGTGATAATAGCTCGCCACCATCATTTGCGTATGAATTTCATATTTTTCTATCAATTTCCATGATAGTTATAATCAATTGAATACTGCTTTGTTTGTGCTCTGTGAAGGAAATATTTGAATGACCTTCATGTTTATAACTTATTGAGCATTGATTCAGAGACATAAGATGAGTATTAATGGGCACTTGTTCCTACCAGAGTTTCGGGATAAAGCCATCTGGAATAGAAAAAAAAGATGAGTATTATAATCCATCACAGAATTTAAGAAGGAACATCCGCAAAATTGACAAAATTTCACGATGAGCCACTAGTGTCCATAGTCCTATTAGTTTCACAAGTCAGAATAATTTAATAATTTATTGCACTGCCGATTCTATAACAAGTGAAATTGAAAAACTGCTTTGTACACAAGTTCAACAAAAAGCATATTTTTGAAACAACACATCTGATTTCAACAATATGTGGGAAGTGTTCGCGAGATATTTTCTATCTCATTTTTGTTCTGATGATGGTTTCTCCTAGTTGGTAGGCGGAAAAAATCAACCAGGAAAAAATGGCCCCCACACTCAAAACGGGCTAAAACCCACCCAACTTCAAAATTTCCCTTGGTTTATTTTTTCCTGGATTTTTCTCCGTTTCATAGCACTTGCATGACCCCTACAAAAATATATGCATTTTTCTCAAAAAAAGATAAAATAGTATATTTCGATACGAGTGAGCTCGTGTGATTGGCCGCACTCGGCTTCGCCTCGGGTCACCTACTTTACACTCGGGAAAATTCCCGTCTCACATGTGTCGAACAATATTTTTTGACATTGCTGCTACGTTCACCTCGTGCTGAAAAGTGCCTTTTCGTTTACTCGTAAATGAAAAAGGGATAGTTCGGCCACTCGCTGGACGTAACATCTCTGTCAAAAAATATTGTTCGACACATGTGAGACGGGAACTTTCAGGTCGTGTGATTGACAGTCCTCAGTTTCGCTTCGGGCCGCCAACTTCACACTCTTGGAAATCCGCCTCACTCGTATCGAAATATACTATATTGAGGTTGTAATCAGTTGAACAAGTGGCGAAACTTGGGAGAAGGAGTATCTGTTACCAACTCCAGCGGAGTTTTTTAAATGTCAATCGGAATTGATGTATGCAACCAAAAGAATCAAAACAATTTTACTAAAATACGTATAGTCATCGTTCACACAACAAAATTAGAAAATATTGCCTGTCAGGATTTCGATGAATTTCAATGTCGCTTTGGTGATGTTACATTTTTTGTCACGCAAAATACGCGTTTCTTTAAACCTGTGTATAAAGCAGTTCTTCAATTCTATTTATTATGGAATTCGTAGTTGAGCGCCATTATTTAAAATAAATGGCACCAGATGACCACCCACTTTTTAATGGATCAGGGAAGGATAGCATTCATCTGACCATCTTTGTTCAATGTTTTCGGTAAATGGATTAGGTGCCGCCTTGCTGTCATTTATTTTAATTTTGCAAAAACTCCCTAATTCAAGCCATCTAGGAGACCGTCTTTCCCATGATATCATAATTAAGCTTATGCCAAACGCAATACGACCGAGGAAATAATATGTCATAATTGATTAAATTTTTATATTGCAATGAACTATTTGATATTGTTCATCTTCTGATTTTTCTGCTCACCGATTAAGAATTTCATCATAATTACAATCCAATTTCGTCTCCAACATAATTTAGAGAGTTCATTTCTGGAATTCAATAATTGTTAATACTCTGATAAAAGTATGTGTCAACAATGTTATAAATTTTTTTAGGTATAGTTTATGCAGCCATACCTAAAATGTAAGTGAGTGTTGTGCACTTAATCAATTGATTTATGATATGAAATTTTTGATTTTTTAAAATTGACTGATCCGTTTTGATTTCGGCGAATCAGGGCAGTGTTCAGAGTCACGTGACACTTCCATATCATTTTTATTTTGCAACTTTACAACCCTTTTTTGTGTTACTTTTCCCTGTGAACTTACATGGATTTCACAATATTTTCTTTCGTAATAACCAAATTAGTGTGTGCATAAGCGGAGAATATCATCTGATAGATATTATTGTCGATTATTTGATCGTTTCTTATTTCAGGCTAGAAATGCGCTTTCAATCTCGCGCTCATTTTCGCAAAAATCGCTCATGAA